TGCAGGAAATACAAAGTCACTTCCTTCCTCAGGCCTGAGCCTCCGCGTGGTACAAAGGACCCCCGTTCCTTCCTATGTGGGGTTCACACCTGCCCCCCCCCCGCCCCCCACTCCACTCTAAGGTCCTGGAGGGCAGGGTCTGAATCTTATTTATCTCGGCATCCTCGGGGTTTGGCCCTGTATCTGGTATACAGCAAGTGCTCCATAAATGTATCTTGACTGACTTGAATTAATGGTAATAATTTAGCCTTTTACTGCTACTCTTCTACCTTTTTTGACGTGGAATTTCTCATTGCCTCTTGAGGACCACCCAAGCGGGGAGGTGCTATTATTCGCCCATTTTCCAGGTATGGAAACTGAGGCTCAGATGGGGTTCCGTGACGTGCCAAGGAAGAACAGGGGCTTGAAGATGGCAGGGCTGAGTAAGTGAGGAACTGAGTAACTGTCAGCGGACCCCCCTCTTATGGGGAGCCCTCCCCAGCAGCCCCCAGCCCCTCTGGGGTCCCCTTCCCTTCTCGGGAAGAGTCATAGGTTTTGAAGCCTGCACGTGTTCTGAGCTCAGCAGAGGGCCTGCACGCCAGGAGCATGCTGGGAGCATCTGCCCCATGGCCAACTTCCCCTCAAGGCTCAGAGCAGGACCTGGAGGCTGTAGGGTAACCCCACCCTCCACCCCCACCCCATGCCTGAGACAAAGCTGGAGTCCACTGGAGCCTGAGTCCCACCACTAAATGGGGACCAGCTGAGCCCTGCACCTCACTTGCTCCCAACATGAACCCTCAGACCCTATCTGGCCCAGACAGCCGGCTAGCTAATAACTTCCTCATGGCTCCGGTTTACTGACCCTCCCTGTCAACCTGAGTGGGGCTAGGCGCTCAGATAAACCCAGAGACCCCCTTCGGTGGCACCCAGGTCACCCCCTAGAACCTCATCCTGACCCAGTGGAGGGCCCAGGACCCTGACACTGGGTGGGGCTAGGCCGCTAGAGGCTCCAAGATAGAAAAGCCGTAGGATCACATCTGAGGCTCTCGGGGAACTGAGATGGGGAGACAGAGGCCCAGAGAAGGCGAGGGGCAGGCCCAAAGGCACACAGCAAGTTCCCAGGCTGGAGAAGGAAGTCAGGTTTCCAACACCTTGACCGCAGGTCCCCTTGAGTGCCCGGGCCGGACGCCCCACTTCATTACACGGGTGATGCACTGACCTCATGGTGACCTGGGGGACTCGGGGATGAGGCAGGAATGACGCCAGGCCATGGAGCGGCTTCTCCAAGGAAGCCGGGGCCTCTCATGAAAGTGCCATTCATTGAAGCTGACTGGACAGAGTGGCTCAGACAGCAAAAACAAAAGATAACTCCAGGGCATGGGAAGAGGCAGCCCTGCTCAGGGCCCATTGTTAGGGAGCTGGTCAGTGCTTTCCTCACAGGCCCTCCTCGAGCCCCTCTGTGGGCGCGAGCCTGCAGAAGCCCCGGGGGCCGGCCCTGCCATGGTCTGCTTTCAGAGGAGGAAACTGAGGCTCAGAGACGGACAGTGATTTGCCCCAGGACACACAGACGGTAGTGTCAGAGCTGGGGTTTGAACCTTCTTCTGTGTGACCCAAGTGTTCTATCATCTATCTATCTATCTATCATCTATCTATCTGTCTATCTATCTATCTATCTATCTATCATCTATCTATCTGTCTATCATCCATCTATCTATCATCTATCTATCTGTCTATCTTTCATCTATCTATCTATCTATCTATCTATCTATCTATCTATCTATCTATCTATCTCGGGCCCGGGGCTGGCCTCACGCCCCCTGGTTGGCATCACTTGTCAGCTGGGAAAAGATCTGAGATGCTACCTGAACTGCAGGAGCCTTCTCAGCCGCCCTGTCATGGGCACTTGTAGCAAAGGTCCTACTCAGCCTTGATCTCGGAGTCTAAGCGGGCAGTCCCCCTGCCTCTGCCTGCAGTCAAGCCCCAGGAGAGACCCCTCGTGGTGGCAGCTGACCTTCTCACCACAGACCTCAGCCATGACCAGCGGTGGCTGGAGCCCAGGGCTTTCCCAGGGGCCGACTGTGGAGTCCCCTCGCTGCAGGTCTGCAGGCCGCCAAGCAGGGAGGCCGGTTAGGCCGGATTAGAACCCGGGCTCCATCTCGGCTCTTCAGGGCCTCACTCTCCCCATCTGTAAATTGGGGGCATGCTGGGGAGGGGAGCAGCCAAATTGCTACCCCAGCAGAGCTCCAGGGCCAGCCAGCATTTCCCCACAAAAGTCAACAAATGATAATCCTCGCCTGAAATGTGCATTTGCTCACTATCTCCCCCCACCTCCAGGACAGGCCGACTTTTATACCTCGGTGGGCGAAATCTCCTCAAGTCTGATCGCCGAGGAATCTAGGAACACACTCTTCCCCCATCTCACACACACACACACACACACACACATGCACACACACACATGCACACTCACACACATACATACATGCACAGCAGAGAGCTGGAAAGAGAAAAGTGCTCCCTGCCCTGAAGCCTTGGGGTGGGGGGGACAGAGGACAGAGAAAGAGGCCACACAAACTATCTATGGCTCTCAAAGGCCAAGAACTCATCTCTCAGAGGCCCCCACACCCCACCACCCCTCGTGGCCCCCCAGGAAATATGCAGGCAAAGTGTGGGAGCTGGCTGGGCCTTTCAGGTGATCGCTGTGTGACCCCGCATGACGAGCCCCTACCCTCTCTGGGCCTCAGCTTCCCATCCGTGGAATGGGTGCACTGGCCTGGGCATTTCTGAAATAGCCGCAGCCCGTCTGTTGCCCTCTCTCCTTCCCGGGTCCGAATTTGTTCCAAGACTCGGGAACTCATTGGCCATTAAGAGCTGGGGTCAGGCCAACTGTCTCGTTTTACCCCGAGGGAGCTGGGCTGAAACTGGGATTGGGCTGCCCAGGGTCTCCTTTCGGGCACATCCCCAGTGTGCAGGAGGCAGCTGATGGATGTTTCTAACTCTCTATCTCTCTCCCTTCTTCTCTGTAAAAAATCAATAAAATATATTTAAAAAAAAAAAAAAAGAGCTGGGGTCAGGCCAACCGTCTCGTTTTACCTCGAGGGAACTGGGCTGAAATTGGGATCGGCTGCTCGGGGTCTCACAGCCTGTCAGGAGCCCTGAACCGAACCCAGAACGGAGAGGCCTCTCAGAATACCCCACTGTGTCCCGCGTGTCATCTCCGGGCCTGGTTCTCCACATCTGTAGAGTGGGGATAAGGCCACCTCCCGGGACCATTGTCAGGACCGGACCGCAGCGCCCAGAGCTCAGTAGGTGTCAGTGAGTGGGCGCCACATGGAGAGCCAGGACCCCCGCTTGGAGCAGGGCCTCTCTGTAGAGCCGTCCTGTGGCCCCTGCTGGGGCAGCCGAGGGCAGGGACCAGGGCCCTGGAGGGAGGCCTGGGAGGGATGGGGATCCAGGGGGCTCACACACACACACATTCACACACACACACACACACAGTAACGGCAGCATGGACACACAATACGTGTACAGACACACAACATACGGACTCAACATCGGGTACCCCGAGAGCACGCCAGGCCCGCCAGCACAGACACACAACACACAACGGGCTGATTCTCCGACAACACGTGCACATCACAACCCCGTCCCCCCTTGGATCCCCCCCAGACCAGACGGCACAGTCCCAGCCACACCACCACCCGCCGACCCTGGGAGCAACCTCCCGGGAGTCCACTCGCAAGAACAACACATCCGTGAGGCGAGGCCGCAGCGCACACGGGGGCACACTCACCCCGCACCCCTGGCCCTCAGCACATCACACACGTACACAGCATCCAGCACCCCCTCCAAACTCACACACACTGAGAGACGCCCCCCCAAGCACTCCCGCCGGCCCCAGTCCCTAAACGCCAAGACATGTCCGGGCTCCCCGGCCAGAGGAGGGGACAGGAGGGGACCCCGACTCACCAGTCCCTCCGCACACAGGCCTGGTCTCCCGCCAGGTGGAGCGAG